ACTTGGAAGAAAACAACACGAAGCATTTCATACACGGTGATTGACATCCAATGCAAATGATTAGGATTGATGTCTAAATAATAAATTTGACGATGAAGTGCTTAGGTGCCAGAATTTAAATAAAGCGACAATTTAGTTTAAATAACAAGATAAAAACTACCAAAAACATAAAAAGTATGAACCTGGCTTAGGCAAGGAAAAACCTCCATAAAGTAAACTATAATAAACCGAGAGGGGGTGTCGGTGGCCATAACGGTTTAGGCGTTGCTAGGGCGTTCATCTCTGTAAGGTTAAGGTCCCGAGTTCTAATCCAGCGGCCTTACATTCGAACTCGATATACGTACAAATGGGCTTTTTTCAAAATCACCGACACACGAGGGAAAAACTGAATAAGAAAACACCAGAGGAACGAGGTAGTCGAGAGTTTATGGTTTGCCCGTCGAGACCAGCGTCGAGGGTTCGATTCCACAGCCGCCCATGGAATTTTTGACCTTACCAACTCCAATGGTTGTTTAAACGTTTTTTGCTCGAAATTCTGATAGTTGTAAACAACAGATCTGTGATTAGAACCATCATTTACAGAAGGTGAATTGACATACCCCACGTTCATCATTTCTTACGTCTTAATTACATGTTTAAAATTGGGGGTACGTATGTCGATCAAAATCTGTGATATTATTTATATCCATAATTAATTTTGCTTTTTTTCTAATGTCTCCAACCAATCTAGTTTTCTCCCTTTGTTGAAACTGGGTAACACTATTGTATTTACACTTAAATTAAATTGTGTTTTGTTTCATTTAGGTAGACCTTTAATTCAGAATATTTGGTCGATTTAATCAAGTGTTCCTTACCTCTCGCTTTAATTTTTCTACCAATTTATCATGTATATGTAATATCGCAATCATTACAAGTAAGTTTGTAAGCCCCGCTTGTAGACAAATTGTTTTTAGATTTTCAGAAGATGTTTCTATGTGAACATCTACCTCTAAAATCTTCTCGTTTAAGAATTTTACCAACTTTTTGTGATAGTTCACAAATTTATGGCAAGCAACGAAAACCTAATTATTTATATTTGATGGGGTGGCTGAGCCCGTTTATTGGTCCTTTTAAAGTTTATTTTTTATTTTTTTTAGTAACGAACTATCGATAAATATTTCTTGATACCGATTTTTTTGTTAAGTTTTTGGTTGTATGTAATTTTTTCTTATAAATAGCAGCTTTTAATGACAGTTCAACGTGGATGGTAGAGCTCGGTTGTTATGAAACGGACGCTCCGTTCTTCGTTGCCCAATCTACTGTACCAAGGCGAGATCTTCTCGACTTGAACACATATTTGAAATTCTCACATGCGTTTAAGAAAATAATTAATAATTAATATTTTACTCAAATTTATTGTTCCACCAAAGAAAAGAATTAACTGAAACCATTAACACTCGACAGTAGGCTCTGGAAAGGATGAAATTGAACTGATTTTCTTTATTTTTAATCTAAAGTGTGTCGAAGGATTAGTAATACTCCATAAAGATCAAGAATAAATAATTAATTTTGTATTCACCTATTAAGTCAACTATTAATTTTTATACCTAGTTATTACGGACAATAAACAAATAAATACAAGTGTCCGGATTTTTTGCCTTTGAGTGTATAAAAACCTTAAAATACACGCACAACAAAGGCAGAAAAACATATTTTAAAAAAATACTCAAATTACTTAAACAATATTGTTTTATTCGCTTCTTGGGCTCACTGGCAATTTGCTATTTTCCGGCCTTGTCTCACCAAAAAAAGTTTCATTGTCCAATTTCATCCAACGCCTGTCTCCTCCGGTTAATAGAAACAATATTAGGCAACTGCAGAACACAGAGATTACAAAAATTCATGCATTACAGCACAATAAAAAAAAGTCGAGTAATCTACTTGCACGTTATCACGTAAAGCTACGACTTCAAGTAACGTTATATAAACTGAATGAATTCTCTCCTAGGGTTCAAACTGCACACATGACAAGTCTAAATGTCTGTTCAAGGTTTCAAACAACCCTACTAGATCAACCCCTATTATCAAATATATAAATGATGAATTGGCTTGACGGCTAACCAGGCGAAATAAGAAAATAGCCCATCAGGGCACAGCGAAACTTAATCTCGTATTATCGTCCTTGTATTATCCTTTCTCAAAGAGCATTGTAAAAAAAGAAAAGATAATACATAAAAGACTCCGAAGAAAGTACAAGGTCGGACGTGTCAAAGAACGGCCACTACAATGCATGGATCTACAGACTTCCAAATGATTTACACAAATTTTGTTTAAAATACCTCTCCTTTTTATCATATTTCATGTAATTCAAATTTCAGTACCATATTGATATAACTCTATGCTTCTATATTTTATATAATTCACTAATTTCGTGGTCTGCTTGACCAATTAATATATTACAATTAAGGTTTTTTTAGTTTTTTTAGTTGAGATAATTGAAAAATGGCAAAAAGGAGGGAAAATTCAAAAGGTTGGGTTGAGATGGGAAGTTAGTGTCCGAGTGGATCGAGGTCACGATAGCTCAAGTGGTAGAGCAGCGGCGTATCTAGCCGAAGATCGTGGGTTCGAATCACGCTAGTGCCATTGACTTTTCTATCTCAACAAAAAACATCTTAATTAATTTTATATAATATTGATTTTGAGCTTTATAATACTGAACAACGACATATTTCTCCAGGGTAAATAGTGAAAAGTTTTATTCAATAATACGATGGTAGAGGTTGAAAATTACATTTATATAAGTTCAAATTATTCCAGACTACAAATTTAAATGTATGAAGACAGGAAGTGTTATTAAAATTTCATTTTACGCTTTTTTACTTTTCACCTCGGATGACAAAATAATGTGATTTTGTGGTGGAAAATGAGAAAAATCCGATTGTCCGGGTTGTGCAGCCGCTCAGTGAAGGTCAGTGGTTTAATTTCGTTCACGCTTTTCTTGGGCTAAATGTGCTCATAGTCTTAAGACGGCAATTTGGAAAGCCACCTCCTTGGTAACAGGTTTTCGGAAACACATTTGGCAATTGATTTTCGGTTAAAGAGTATGCGATTAGAAGTCCTTGTTATTGGATTCCCAATCTCGACTCGTTCTCGGTCCAACTACTTTGTCGATATATCGCTAAAAGTTCATCTCAGGTCCCACTACAACAGCCTTTCGTTTTCATCTGCTAATTTTTTTATTACGTGAGCTGATAAAATTTAATACTCAGGTGTAAATTTGAAGAAGAAGCTCAATTTCCCAGTAAATTGAGTACTTCAACTCACTTACCTACTCGGCGTAAATGAGACCGCTAAAAAGTTTGGTAGGCCACTAGGATCCTTTTCTGCTTAAGTCCCGCAACTCTGGTATGACCGTCGAAAATTTGCTTCTCATTTATAAACTAGTTGTAAATCCTAGTCTACCCCTTATGGAATTGCGAATCAAATTTGAGTAAAATCCAAGTCATGCAAAACAAGTTACTAAGGCTAATCAACTTTTCGACGCGCAACACTAGAGTACGTCATCTCCACGGTAGGACAGGGATGTGATTGGATACACGAGTAATAATAATAACAGAAATTTTATCTTGAGACTGGTAGATCACAATAATCTACATGCTAAAACTAGGCAACTATGATATACATTTTTCCTGTAAACACAGGAGAATAAAAGATGGACTGGTATGATTAAGTGACTTAATTTTATAGCCTAGAGAGAAAGAGAAATAGATAGAGGCAGATAATGAGAAAGGGAGAAAAGAAAGATATATATATATATATATATATAATATAAGGATAGATTAGATTGATAGATGAGAGAGAGAGAGAGAGTGAGAGTGAGGGTGAGAGAGAGGGAGAGAGAGATAACGATAGATGGCAGACACAAATAAAATGATGAGTGAGAGAATAAGAGAAAAAAACAAAGAAAGAAGAAATTCGTAAAAAGTGAGTAGATGGATACTTTGAAAATAGTAGATAGAGGTAGAGAGAGGTATAACGAGAATAATAGAGATACGAGCTAGACAGACTTGTAGAAAATTAGTTAGTGAGTGTGATCGGATAGTAGATAAAAACAAAGAAAGTAAGAACTATGTAAAACATGAGTAAACAGATATATAGATAAATAGATGGAGAGAGAGAGAGAGAGAGAGAGAGAGAAACGAGAGAGGGACAGAAATTGACAGACAGTCAGAAAAATTGTGAGTGAGAGTGAATGGCAAATGGGGGGCCGCGGTAGCCGAGTGGTTAAGGCGTCAGACTCTCGGCTATTAGATCCCGCGGTCGTGGGTTCGATCCCCACCGTCGCCTCTGGACTTTTTCTGACGCCTAAGGGGACCGGTGGCCGCAATTGAAAGAAATTGACACGGCACTCATCAATGGAAGGGGCGGGATCGGATCTCAGCGACCCTGAATTTGGTCCCAACCCCCTTCAAAAATGAGTTTCTTCGATGGAAGAACACCGGTACAACGGGGGCTCAAGTTCACATTTGTGTTGCGAACCCTCCCCCAAAATATGGAGCCGGGGATAAAGTACAATAAGCTGTACAGCTCAGCTGCAGTACTCAGGAGGGAACTCCTCCAGTCCCTGGTATCCATTGAAAAAAAAAAAAAAAAAAAAAAAAAAAAAAAAGGGAAAAAAAAAAAAAGAATGGCAAATGAAAACAAATAAAAGCAAGAAATATAGAGATAGAGAGGGTATGTGTGGCAGAAGAAGCTTTACTAGGAAAGGATAAGTAAATAAAGAAACAGGGACGAGAAAAATTGTCTTTATCATTATGTAAGAAATGAATGTAATGTGAATATTGAATGTGGGTTGTTGGATTCCTCATTAACTCCACCATTTTGACATTGACCTGCATGCATTCATCTAGGAAATGTGTCTTGCAATGAGTTGACCTTACAAGGTATTGTTGTGTGAAAATAAGGCTGGATAAAAAGGCTGCAATAGGAGTTTATAGTGTCATTGTTTATACAAAATAACATATTTTTTTTAAACATCTGATCTCCTTCTTTAGTCTACCATTCTTAATCACGAATGATCTGTAGTATTTAGTTTTTGCAGTTATTTATTAGTATTGTATTATTTGTGTCATCGGAAGATCTTCACAACTATCGTGGATATCGCATAACTGGACTATGTTGGCATGTTTTGTCCTATTGTTGATGGTGAATATAAAACTTGCAATTATCAAATGAAAACTATTTTATTTAAAACGGTTCTTTTTAGGTAAAAGATGCCTTTACTCGTGACAATCAGTCTTTTCGGAAAATGGAGCAAAGATTTGGAAGAGAGCTCATTATCGCAGACGGTATCAAATCCGCCGTTGATCTGGTCATGTCGAGGATGAAAACGTTAAAAGAAGAGACCGCTTTAGAAATGGAAAATCACGCAGAAGACATGCGTGCGATAATGCGCAATTTTCAAGAGGTCGCCGATTTCCAAGTCTGCAGCCCCAACAGGACAGAGCGAGTATACAGCGAAATCTGCAATTGCGTCGAAAACAGGCCAGCCTTTCCCGATTACAACAACGAGACGTTTTCGTTGGGCCAGAGCAAATTCAGACAATGGAGTCAAAATTACGATTCTCTCTCTTCGGACGTGAATAAAACAAGAGACCATATCAAAATGATGCAAATCGAATTCAGGAAAAGTGAAAAGGTGTGTAAAAACATTGTCGACCTTGTGAGAAAAGAAGAGTGCACGTGGGAAATAAACAAGAGAGCTAATAAAACATTCGAAGACATTAAGAGCGTACAAGACAAAGCTAGTAAAATAATTCTCGAAGTAAAGGAAGTACTAGAGAAATTCGTAGACGAAATATTTCAACATAAAACCTCACAAATGAACGATTTAATGGCCAAGATTGAAAGTTATGCATGCTGTTTCGATAGAATTGGGCTGAGGGTGCAAAACCACGAGTGTGAAAAAGGGAACAGCACACATTTTTTAAAGTACACTCGAACCCTCGCTGGAGAGCTGGAAGAAATGAAAATATTTTTAAAGCACGATTATAACGCTACAAGAGTCCTTTTAGACAATATGTACAAAACGGACAGCGACGATGAAAACGATCATTTTGACAGTGAAGCACGACAAAAATTTGTAACAAGTGCGTCAGATCATTTGCCAAGACACAAGAAGAAATATTACGGAATTGAACTAAAAGGGAGAGATTCTTGGCCAAGCCGATCTGTTTTCACGGAAGAGCAAAACGACCAGTTACTCATTGCGACAAATGTCAAGAAACGTGATACGGAATTTATCGAAAAATCCTCAGAAAACGAAATGGAAAGTACGACCGAGGCGCCGACATCACAGCCTAAATTAAATATGAGCAGAGACGTCGAAACGAATAACGCGAATAATATCCAAGGGAATTTAGCATCATTAAAAGAAAAAGAAACTGAAAACAGTAAATTAAAAAATACCACACACTTTGGAGAAATTACTACTATAAAATTCGACAATATGCTCTCCACATCGCTACCACAACTCCAAACGACCAACCATGAGAATTCCCCTTTGTCCCAGACCACAAGCAATGTTCATGAAGATGTCACGCTGTCGCAAGAAACGGAAAATCCAGTCACTATGTTAAAAAATACCGCAAGCCATCCATCAACAGAAGAAATGACTACGTTGAAAAATACAAATGGAATGCAGAAGTTACAGCCTCAATTAAATGATTCGGAAAACGTTAACTTGACCAATGGTATCCATAAATCGAAAAATTTCTCAATCGATGTAACAAATAGTTACACAATGGAAGAAACGAGTACTTTGCAAGATTTAATTATGTCAACTTTGTACCCACAATTCCAAGATAGTACTACCGATCTAGAAGGCACTGCTCACGAAACCTCGAAAGCAAATTCGAATGAAAGCACTGAATTCAAAAATACTTCATTCGATATGACAACAAATCTACCAATGACAGAAACCCTGGAATACAATGCAAACAAAACAGAAAGTTTCTAAACGCAGCTGGCTATATAAAGAAGATTCACTATGGTGTGATGAAAAATCGCCAATTACAGTAATAAAAATATAAAATTTCAGGTTTAAAGCTTTTCAGTTAGACAAAACTAAGCTCCAAGTTAAAGAACGAAGGTTACTGTAAAGTGTAATGTGATGGTTAGGGATGGTGGTCATGGGATGGTCATCAGAAAAGCTAGTAGACTGAAGGCCATTAAAGGTTTTATTGAGGTACTTGATTAGGTGTTTAGAAGGTGACATACAAATTTTAGATATTCGGGAATCGCTATGACACTTTGCTTGTCATTCATTCATCACTTAAACGAAAATGTTTCCAGGGCTAAGCTGGGTTTGAAGAGAATAAATAATTTTCCCAAAAATTCTTACATAGACGAAGAGAAGACTTCTTACATACACCCTTGCAATCAAAATACCATGTTTATAGCGTTTTGCGATCCATAATTTGTTATACAGTCCAAATATGAGGCAATAACTGCTTTGAGGTCTTGAAGAGGTCTCAAAAGTTAGGTTCCTTTCTTTAATAGCTTTTTGATGTACATATAAGAAGACAGTAATTTTGTTGTATATCATGTTTTTGGAGGAAGTGGCGCATGAATAAAAGGTAAGAGGCGAAGGTAGGCATCAATCTACGAGCCGAAAGTCTAAAGATCCATCCACCATCTAAATTCCTTATTTGAGCAGTCGATTGGAAAAGGAACTCGTAAACCACGTAGTTTTTGAGAAAAACGGAAGAAATCAAAAACAATTTGTTGCCTTTTTTTATGTAACTGGACCTGCTGAGTGGATTAGAAAAGGAATTAAGCTCGTAAACCACATCATTTTCGAGAAAAACGCAAAAAACGAAAAAATTGTCTTTTCCCATGTAAATCGACCTGCTGAGTCGATTGGAAAAGGAATTACTCCCTCAAGGTTCGGCGGCGTGAATTGTCCAAGCCTTTAAGAATTCCTCAATATTTGTGGCGTCGTCCTTTAGGCCGAAGTAGAAGGGTAATCTCGAACAAAAATCAATTTTTTTTTTGCCTTGGGACCAAAACCACGAGAACAACCAACAACCACCACCAGTCAATACAGAACTAGGCCTTGATTTGTTTGAATAAAATCCTCTTCGTATGTGGACTTGGGTTCGTTTGAGGAAATCTCCAAGAAAATCCCAATTTGACGATTTCCTGTACGTGTACGATTGTTTCCTGTACCCTTACACGCTAACAATTCGGCTACGCTATCCCATAAAAATGTAAACACAATCAAAATCCGAACACTCGTAGTTCGTTTTTATTTCAAACTATATTTTTACCACTATATACATTGTAATGTACCTTGTAATTATTATTATTATTGTTTGCGTCTTCCACAGCAAAATTTTTGATTCTACCACTATATACATTACAAATTTTCTATCTATAAGAATTTAAAAAATTCTATCTATAAAAATGTAAGATCTATCTATCTGGAACAAAACTGGCGTAAAAAATAACGAGTAAATAAACATAGGTCTTTCAAAACCCAAAGAGAGATAAAACTGAATTATTATAAAAGACTGGAATTATGTTACAATCCTATATATTTTAGATAATATTAGTTTTGTATTCATTTTTTAGGCTTTCAAACGATACTTTATACATACATAGCAAAGAGAGGTGTTCGTTTTTTCTCATCGAACTGTACTATGAAGCTATTTAATAAATTACGCAATGGAGCTAAGACTTAGGTAAAATAAATATCTATTTTGACCTTTTGTAGCAAATAAAATAACAATTAAGCTTTTGTTCCAACGTGGAAAAAAGCTTTTAAAGCCTGGTTTACGACATCTAAAGTTAAACCCGCCTGTTCCGCACAAAACAGTCAACGTCGTACGGTTTTTAACACTTTTGCAAAAATATAACAAAAATCATCTATAAACAAAAACTGTCGCGATACAGCAAGACGTAAATTTTCAACCAGATTCACACATTTAGCTGAATATTTACGAGTTTGGTTAGTAAAAAAAAAAATTGTCATGTGCTTTACAAATGATTCTTTTGTCATAAACCATCGTATCTTATCGTACATAGTTTTCTAGTCTGTGCCAAAATTGATTTTAATGTGTTAACTCATCCTAAAATGAAAAAGATAGTATGCAACAGGCAAGACGACACACCAATTATCACATAATTCACTTTGGCGAGATCAAAAATGAAAAAAAAAATAAGACCTGTTCAGTAACGTCATTTTTTCTTCTTCTATGATGCCAAAAATATCCAAAATATAGTTATAAGGATGCTTTTGAGCAATAAGGAAATTATTATTATAATCTCAATACAACCATACCCACCTCGGTATCATCATCACACCAGAGCAGCACTCCTTTTGCTCAAAAGCGGTAGCGACAAAGTCTACAACGCGATGGTACTTCTGAACAGTCGAATGAAAACGTCTGAACCCAAACTCGTCGAAGATAAGATTACAGAAATGAAGGTCGGGGGGAATGTTTAAGAAGGGGTTTTTGTAGGATTTTGCCAATTATATGCTAGTGTAATTTTACATAGGTTAAAACAAAGAATAGGCGGACCAGGAATGATCTTTCATTCTTTATATTATCATTATTTCACATCCATTCTTGAAATTAGAAATTAGTCGTTTTTTTTTTTAAATTTATTAGCTAAATGTGCCCTCTGTACTAGTAGTACGTTTATGTGGGATCAAGTGGCATAGCGCAATGTCCCAAATTTATTTAGCCTTTCATTTTTATAATACACCTATTTTTTAGTTTTTGCAAATGAGTTTATTATCTTTAACATCCTAGAATTCACGCTATCTGGCTTACAAAATTGTTGAATAAAAAATAAAAAACTCTAATTTTTGACAGTTTTAGTTTCATGCTCTAGTAGCAAAAAATAGGAAAATTACACTTTTTTCAAAAGTTTTGTAAACCGATTTGTATAAATTCCATGATGTTACGTGTAATAAATCCGTTTACACAACGAAAAGATGTAGTGTTTTAGTAATGAGAAGTCTACCAAATTTAGTGCCCCTATCTTTGGGATTTAATTCGTTATTTTGAAGTGCATTTAACATCAGGCGAACTTTACTTGAAAATTATTGACTGACCTGTTGAATAATTCGATGTTGAAGAAAACGTACTCCCCGCTATCGATCATATTGAGCTCTTCGGCGACAAGAAGGATTTCCCTAACAGTCAAAGGGTCAGCACATACGACCACAACTGCAACAAATAAAAAAAAGAGAACATGTGAAAGAACTGTCAACAGAATAAACCAATCTAAAAGGATAAAATTTGTACATGCAAACACTAAATACTACATATATAAGGTTTTCTTTTCACATTAATGAATTCGCTCTTTTACCACAACAAAAAAAGATTAAAACATGCAATTTTTTCAGTCTTATTAATAATCTAATTAGTCAAATACTATTTTTTATCATAGATGATCTGAATAATAAAAATATTTGAAATATAGTCAAATTTTAAAATTATAAGACTAGAATTAAATATTAGGTTTTTCTTTCCATCTTGTGTAAAATTATTTAAATTTACAGTAGAATTAACATTTTATTAGATAAGGCGGACTTTATGAAATAAAGTTGTGAAAGGTAGAAATAACCGGAAAAGTGAGATGTCTCGACTAAAATTAAGAATAAGACTTTAGAAAATAGGTTTTTGGTCTAATTAGACAAGTAGCACCTTCTGAAATATTGACGTCAATTCACAGTACAAGGAACATAACTGTAAAAACGGGAAAATTCTGCTGTTTCCTTGACCGAAAAAGCATTCGCGCAGAGTGCAATAAGTAACAATAAAAAAGCAAAATGGCAAAACCAACGTTTATCAACAAAAGACGTTTACTTAACAATACGAAAGAGGCAAATATAAAACCCTACTGCATTTCTTTCATTATTACGTACAACTGACTTGAGCAGACATTAAATGTAATTAAAATTACCCTTTATTGCTCTGTCAGATTGTTAAAAATTATATATATATATATATATATATATATATACATATATATATATATATAATTTTTTATGTGCGAGTTATGGAGTTATGGTTTTCTGAGTGAAACGTTACGGCCAACTAAACAGCTTCGGTTTCAAAAAAGGCAGTATGTTTAACCTCATTGGTGGCGCGTAAGGGCCTTAACCGGGAGGAAATTTATCGGAAAATTGCTTTCCGTCGAAACGATTCCCAGAAGACTTAAGGCCCGTGTCTTTTTTGCAAGGAGCTGAGATGATGAAAAAAAAAATCATTTGAACCATTTTATTAAAACAAGATGCTGTTTTATAGTTTTAATACAACAGAAATATGAAAAATTTTCTGTTTTGATAAAAGTGTGATCCATCCTGTATAGTATAATATTAGTATGTTGTAAAATTACATACAATATTCGGTTCCGAGTAACTCATCCTCTAAATACATTTGAATTGAAGGTACTGCGATGTTAACAGTCATTATTATTTAGGTGGTGCTGCTGTGCTCCCAGATTGCGAAATGAAAAAATAAATACGCAAGTGATAGAACAGAACGGATTGGATGATATTGAACATAAAACAAATTATTCCATAAGACATCGCAAATTTCATTTAACCATTTCGACGAAGGACATTTTAAATAATTTTATGCAAAAGTTGCTTCCTTCCGGTGAATTGCTTAGATTTCGAGAAGAATCAGAGTATTCGACCTGTTTAACTTAAAACAATTATTCCAAAACAGGACAGATCAACATATTGTTTTAGGAATATTGAATTTAGCTGATGTGTTAATTTCGTGTCAAACTTTGTCAAAAGATTGCGAATGTCTGGATATAAATCTGTACATATATGCTTCTATTTCGTAATTTTTTTTTAAATATTGAATGATTGACACTAAGTCCAAATTGGTGGTTTGGTAAATTTTTGCCTTTTCCAACATAGGGTTTCAGTCCTTTCAGCAAAACTTTTGTAAATATTTGGAGTTTACTGAAAGCAAAGAGATGGGTCAATAGAATGGCACTTCGTGTGGTGGACTAGCAGGTTTTGCTATCACAGTTTTCTCAGGAATTTCATTACACAGAGTTTTCATACTGACCAGCCATTTTAATTTCAGACAAAGCAAAATATAAAAAAAGCTGAATTCTAATCCCCTTTATTATTTGTAAAGTATCTATTAAAAATGTCTTTTCTACCCCAGATATACAGAATGACCCAATCAACTTTTATTTTTCCAAGCACAACCTCCAGATTTTTGTTGCATATTCTTAACTTAAATCGTTTTTTAAGAAAGTTTTTTTTATTGAAATCTATCAAGAATTTCCCGAGCTACAGTTTTTTAAAATAATTGTACAGGGGATTGATATTTTTGGTTTTTACCCACTTGAAACTGATGAACTGCTGTATTTGGTTGATGCAACATTAATGAAGGGTGTGGTGATTAGTGACCGTTAATCGATAATTATTCAGAAATCGTGAGATGCAGTCTTGTGTGATGTAGGTTTCAGAAAAACATTTTGTTTATCGTGCCAACATTTCGATCTTTATTGAGATCATCTTCAGGGCTCAAAGTGTTTGTCTTCTGGGTAATTGTGCCATTCTTGCGTATCGTGTTGAGAGTGCCCGATGACACGATAAAGAAAATATTTTTCTGAAACCTACATCACACCAGACCGCATCTCACGATTTCTGAATAATTAATTAAGGGTTTGAAATTTTGTTTTATTTTCCCAGATTATTGTCATGTAAACAAAGATAAAACCTCAAATCTAATTAATGGATTATAATAAATATTTTTAACTGTTATACTTTATACAAAAAAATTTAGTTTATATTTAAATTTATAAGCTGCGGACTTGTGAAATTAAATATCTCCGAACTAGATTCTCGTCAAATTTATTTGTACGAATTTCATTTAAACTTGAGCGAAGTGAGGACCAAACCGCACGTACCATCAATTCAGTTTGAGGGACGGAGGTAAGCATTAGCGAATGCACGACGCACAATGGTTTTCAGAGATTTCGATCAGGACAGGGAATGTTACCTTCCGTTGTGGACGACGACCAACTCAAAACATTGTTTGAAGAAAGTTCACGTAAGGCAACACGGGAAATTGCGGAAGATCTTAGTGTTGACCACTCAACCGTTGTTTGCCATCTAAAGCAAATTGGTAAACAAAAGAAGCTTTACAAGTGATTACCGCACGAACTAACCGAAGCCCAAAGAAATCGACGCTTTGAAATTTGCCCCTTTTTTAACGCCATTAAAACGACTTATTTCCTTATCGAATCATCTTGTGCTATGAAAAATGGATTCTGTGCGATAACAGGAGGCGTACAGGTCAGTAGTTGGGCAAGGATGAAGCGCCGAACCACTTCCCTAAACCAAATCTGCACCATAAAAAGGTTTGGTGGTGTTTGGCTGGTGTTGTTCACTATAATTTCCTGAATTATGGTGAAACTATCACAGTAGCGAAATAGTGCCAAGAAATTGGTGCACAGGAAACTGCAACGTCATTGTCCAGCATGGGTAAACCGTAAAGGGCCCATTCTTCTTCACGATAACGCCAAGCTACATGTCGCAATGTCAACCCTACGGAAACTTACGGACTTAAGATATGAAACCTTATTCACCCCACTTCTCGCCTATAGACTTCCTCCTTTTTAGGCATTTTGATCACTTCTTGAGAGATATTTTTTTAGAGAACATGGTGAAAACGAAAACACCTTCAAAAACTTTATTGTGAATCGAAATAAATATTTTTACGTCAGCGGAATAAAGCGCTTATTACACGTTAGGAAAGATGTATAGCTTGTGAAGGAAAATATTTCGAATAAAGTTTCTATATTTTATAAAAATTAAAAATAGTTTTGTCTGCCTTTTTAAAACCTGCATTATTTTTGAACCGGCCCAGTAAGGTTTATTAACCCTTCCCCAATGTTCAGGTCTTACACCTAGGACCTACCCTGGCTTTATCTCTTCTTCCGAAGAGAATACAAATATTTCCAAGGTAACTTTCCAAACCATAAATTCTGGGCGACCTCTCTACATTTTGCAGTTACTTCGATATCAAATCTTCTATCCTCTCTCTTAACACCCAATGACCTACCTACCTCCTCATAAAACATCCAAATTTGAACGATCCTTCCTAGCTCTAGCCACAAACCTTTGGAATTCTCATACTTTGCCACTCCGCATAGCCGCCTCCCCTACCTCTTTTAAATCCTTCCTGTACAAACACAGCAACTCCCTCCAAACAGAGCCAACATAGTCCACAATATTATTAGGTCCTTTAATACATAAGAAAACTGGTTTCCTTTCTTTTCTCAACTTTTATGTTTACAGTTTGTTTAATTAATTGAATATGCACGCCATGCATGGAGACACAAATTTGAATTGGTCTATCATTAATTCATCATCATTAATTATCAATGTGTGGTGATTAGTGACCGTTCGTCGATATTAGTCGGAAATCGTGAAATGCGGCCTGGTGTGATGTAGTAGTACTCACTTTGAGTGAGTAGAAATACTTTGATTGAATATAAAAAATATTTTTTGCATTGTATAAATTCCCTTTTTTCCACATCCTACATGTATTTGTTAAATGTGAACAATGTTTGTAAATCCCAGGCCCTGAAGATGATTTCAATAAAGATCGAAACGGTTGCACGATAAAGAAAATGTTTTTCTGAAACCTACATCACACCAAACCGCACGAATTCCGAATAATTAATTATCAATGTTGATACGACACACTACATGTCTGGTTTAGCATCAAAAATCAGTCTCACCTTTGTATTTTTTGTTTGTTTTATTTAATTTACTTATTATTGTGCACTTTGTATTGGTGTTGTTTGTTTTTATTGTTTTTTGTAGCTACTAGCTTTTCAATTATTTTTTTTTCTTTATTTTTTATTTACTATTATTTATTTTTTATGTTTATTTATTATTATATTTATTTTATTTATATTTTTTTAGTTTTCTTTATATATTTTTAAAATTTCTATGTTGTTTTTTATGATACTTGCAACAATCTCCGGCATACAGTTTTAAACTATGCTTGTAATGCTTATAAATTTATTGTTGTTGACCTTTATCTTTTGTTGTAAATCTTTATCTTTCTATCTGTCTATCTATCTTTACAGTTTGTGGTTCGTGGTAGCACAACACAAAGAATTCTTACTTTCAAACGGTTTTTTTTATAATTTTTATTATTGTACTACTATTTCTATACTT